GCTTCCCCATCATTGTGTAAGTTGGTGACTAATACCTGGTTCTGGTATTATGGTCTTGTACACCCACACCTTCCCCAGCTCATTTTTCAATATTGGTTCTTATCTGCAAACAACGGATGAACTTTTTCATGCATTTTTCATACTTTTTTTACAGCATTTCTAACATGCCTGTAGTTACACTCAGATTTGCATTACTAACTGATCCTTCTATTATCTTTCTTTATGCTGTTTTGGTTTTATTTATTATTGCTGTAACTTTAATTAGTTTATTAGGTAGCTATTCCTGTAATTTTAGTTTTAAAATTAATCCTGGGCTTGAAATTTGGAAATATTTTATTGCATTGGGATAACAATTTTCCCTGGTGCCTCTGTAATGCATGGCACTCACCCTGCTGTCTCAGACAGCTTAAGTGTGATTGAGTAACTAGAGCCAGTTGAAACATGTTGTTGCCTTCCAGCCTTGTTCTTAGTTTCTGAATTTCCTCCTTTTCCTCCTGAATCCCAAAAGGCTTTATTAAGACAGCTTTGTGGAAGCCATTAACTCTAAGCTGCATAATTATGTTACTATAGCATTGACTTATTTAATAGTAGGGAAAAAATTGTATGCATGTCTAGAAATTTATATTCCTCAGTGTTGGAATTTTAACTTAGTAAATTAAAAGGTTTACTCAATTTACCTACAAAGTAATAGTAATTAACAGCAAGAGAGTCTACCTGCAATAAAGCAGGTTTTGTGAAAACATGTCACTTTAATGAGCTGCCATCATATTACACTTACTCTTCACCTTTTAAATTGCATATAAGGCTCTCGCATACTTAAAAAAGGGGTGGTGTTACAGTTTAGCTTGCTTTGTTTAGAAGTGGGGACCCGTATTTAGCATATTAGTGATGCATTTTATGTCATGCTTGCACTGCTTAGAATTGCATAAATTTGGCATTTGTGGTGTTAGAAATCAGGCCAAGGATTTTTTAGAAAAGACATGCATGCAAAGAATATTGCAGTTGATAATCCTCACACTGCTATTCGCGTGGTACTGCATGACTTCATTCTCACTGTTGCATTTCAGACCACCTAAGGGCAGCTCATCTCTCTTTTGCTCTCCCTACCATGTTGTCTCCAGCATATCTGTTATTAAAGCAGGGCAGATTGTGCCAGAGCACAAATAGCATGTTCTTGTCCCTCACAGTGCCACCTGCAATTGCCAGTATTATATCTTTTGATTGGGAGATGGCATGACAAACAAACCTTTCCACCACCTCCTCACCCTGAAAAGTCTACGACAAGTTTGGTGGTCCATAACAAATACTCAGGTTTCTGGGATGGGTGAACAGAAAAGCTGCATTTTTCAGCTTTTCATGGTACACTTAATTAAGACCTGGCATCCTTATTTATGTTACTTCTGCTGAAAAATGGGCTCAGAGGGATGCACAGGGATTTACCTATTATTAGTATTTTGACTTTTTGAATAGGTCTAGCCTAAGTACTCACCCAGTTAAATTTGTCTTATGTGGTCTGTCTGCCACAAAGCTAAAAACTTCAGAGGTAAAAAATTAATTCTTAAGCTTTTGAGCATGACAGCTATAGACCACATGTTCCTTTTTTTCTCAGGGGGAAGAAGTGGCATGCACTCATCAATTAACTGTTTCACATTTTGTTTTTTATCACTTTTTGTTTGGCTTTTTTTGTTTTGTATCACTGAGCTTCAGCAACTTGTGTGTGTAAAGATCAATTTAGTTGTATAAAGCTCGTATATTTAGTCCTTAGGACTGATTGGCTGTAGATGAGAAGCTGATTAGTTTGGTGGGTTTGGATGTGGCTTTGCAGTTAGGGATATGTTATCACTGTGTCTGTGCTGTTCAGTTTATGCTGTGGGATGATGCTCTGTGCTTTGGCTTATTTTTAACCCTGGCAGCTTCTAATAAGTGTCAAATAAGCAGATTCTAATAAGCTGCTTAGAAGCTGTTTCTAGTAAGTGCCTCTGCTTTGCCATCCCCAAAGAATTATGCATGAGTCTCTTCCTCTTTTTCTTAAAGGTTCTCAGGCTGGCCACATGTATAGCCATAGCTTGCCCTCCTGGACATAGCAGTATACCAAGGTATCAACACTTTCAGAAGCTTTTTCCTTCTTTTTTGTCTGAAAACAGAATTCAAACATTTTGTCATCTGGTTCTCTGCAAACGCAGCTTATTCTCTCATAGACAATTTTAACTATTATTTTATGCAGTGTTTTTTCTTTTACAGCTTTGCAGCCATCACTTTAGAAATGCCTCAGAAGAGTGGCAGTGGTAACTGGCATTTTTTTCCCCCCCTTGTCAAATGCAAATCTCTCACCTCTCAAGTGTGCACATACAAAGATCTCTTACTGCCTTTTTTTTTTTTTTTTTAATAACAAAATTAGGCCATAGTTAGCTAAGCAGTGACCTGATTAGTGCTGGATCAACATGTAACCAACTCAATATTGTCACTACAACACGAGTGTGGTGAAGTCTGCCTGTTCCAACTAAAATGAAAGCAGTCTCTTGACGAAGAGCAGTGCTGAAGTCAGCAGTTTCTGCAAAGGGGCCCTAAACGCAGGTTGAAGGATCTCTTCTGTGTATATATGTAACTACCAGTGCCAATCTCTAATTCTTTATGATCAAGTACTTTTTGTCATGTTTTCTCTCTTATCCTCCTGAGTAAAAATAGTTCTAAGTGTTTTTTTTGTTCTTTGTCTGTCCTTATCTATGAAGGATTTGGCTTTGTGAGGTATATTTAATGTTTTCTGTAAAGAAGACCCCCTGAGAGATCCCATGGAGTAATTCACTTTGCTGAGTTAGCAGATGAAGCCATTGGATAGAGTCAAAAAAAGATACTGTCAACTGTGAAGCAAATGAATCAATACCAGTGCAAGGGGATCACTTTGCTTCTTCAATATGAGAAAAGTGACAGCACAGATGCAATATCTGACATACAGATTAAAAAAACCCAAATATAAACACACACACACACACACGTTGGGTTGGCTTTTATTGGAAAGCCTAGATGCAATCTATAGTTATCAATTTGTGGAAAATTCAGGACACATATAAAGTTAAGAAGGCAAATTAAAAGAACAATACAAATCAGACGAAATATACATCTTAAAATATCAGGATAGCATTTTGACTGGCATTGTCTAAAATACTTAGAATCTCCTTTCTTTTTTTCTTATTTTTGTAATATGCTTCTTTAATTATGCATATTTTTTCTTTAAAAAGATCTTTTGTTTTTATATTCCCCAAGGTCACTATTTCCTGCAGGAGCATGTCCAGATCACAAGTCTATTTTAGCAAGAAATAGGCTCATTATACCTACTAACAAGGCCACTAATTGGCTTGATTTGACTGTATCTAAAATGATCACCAACAGATACTATAATTTGTTGTTTATTGGTGCCAGAACAAAGGAGAAGGGACTGGTATGCGCCAAGTAGAAGATATATTTCAATGTTGACATGTTATACAAGCTTTTCATATTCAAACAGAACAGAAACATTGGACATAATTTAGAATATGAGCCTATTTCAACAGAGAGCACTTACAGCATGCTAAATACAGTGCTGTGGAAGAGCCACCCAACAGAACTGCGAACACCTAGCATTTTACATCTTTTAAAAAGAATATGTAGATCAATGACACGCCTCTGGGGTCTGACATACCATCCTCTCTAAATTTAGGGCCCTCAAGCTTCAAGGGTAAAAGTACTAACAACTAATCTGTGCTTTAATTCTAATAGATGATAAGCATTCATTATATGTGTAATTAGTTCTGTATGCTCTACCAAATACACACATACAGTAATAGCACTGATACTGTAGATTCGGTAGCGACTTGGCTGGGAGAAATTTGAATCTGTTTATCAAACAATCCTAATGTGCAATTTAGAGTATGTAATACCATAGACTCTCAGAATACAAAGCAGTTAGAAAACTATTTTTGTTACATCCACTTGAACCATTCATAGTTAAGACACGTTCACTTACTATGTTCTGTCATTATAATACATGGATAGAAATACTGTGTATAATTCAATGAACATCAAAACCCCCAATTTTGTCTCATCTTAAAAATATTTATTTTTGTGGCTGAATTTAGTGCTCATGAGACTAAAGCTCTAAGAATGGTTTCAGCCAAGATGTAGAACAGATGCCATAGATGCCACCACAGGCTTCCTATAAGGAACCAGCTGCACACTTCAGGTCTTCCTGCAGCAAATATACTGGGCCTTGGAGCAGAGCATGCCAAATCTATGCAGTGGTGTGGAGATGCAGACTAGGCACTAGAACTGGACCTTCCTCTCCATCCCCAGGTTGTGTTCACAGTAATAAGATTTGATCTGCCAGCTGAAGGCCAGGAGATGAACCTACTGAACAGCCTGCCTGCCTAAAGAGCAATTCTGTAGCATCAGGTCAGAGGTACGCTTCTTCTATCTGGAGTTATTAACACCTAAAAGAGCTGTATTATACAGAAGACAAAGTTGACATAACTGGATGAAACTACATCATTTCTTCTTCTTCTTCTACATACAATTTGCCAAGCACCTGAGACACTATTCCTTCATTGTGAAACAAAGCTTCTAAAAAACCAACAGAAACCCCACCTGGTATGAATAAATGTCCATTTATTACATTAGGGCTGGAAAAAGACAAGGAAACCCCAACCTATTAAAGTCTTCCATCATACTAAATGAGACTTATTTGGTTACTGTGCCTTCTAACAATGACTGATGCAGTGGCACTGGCTTGGGTGACAGGAGAGGGAGGGGAGGGAGCTGTGGTCTGATTCAGCCAGCCACTTTGTGGAGTGTGTCCCATCCTATCAGCAGAGTGATAGATGCACAGCTTTAAACCTAATACAAAAATATTAACACTTTTGGACATTAGTCATCACTGTTATATCTCTACAATATAATCCTTTATACTGTACAGCTATAACATAAAAGGTGCAATTCCTTTTTCTTTAAAAAAAATCACACACAGCACATGTTTTTATCATTTTATTTTTAAGTATAAACTTTTTTAAACACTTTACATAAATTAACTCCTCTGAGACTAATATTTGATGTACAGTAAATTGTAATTCATATAAAAATCCATAAACAACTTGTCTCACATAATTTACAAAAAAATCAGGGTTTCCTTTGCTTATATGCAACAAGGATTCTACTTGCCATTTCCCCCCCAAGGCAAACCATGTTAGCATTGTAAAATCCATTATTAAATTCCCATGGTAGCATAAGTCACTTGTGCCAATGTCCTTTTAGAAAGCAGCACAGTTTAATGCAGTTGGGTTGTCTATAAACAGTAATTTTTGCCCCATGTTTTAAAATTAAGAGATATATACCACATCCTATGCAGTGAGAAAGAGAGAGAAAAAGAGAGAGAGAAAGAGAGACTACTTCTCGTAAGCAAAGGTCAACAATTCAGTACTATTTGGAAACACTGTATGGGTCTGTATCTTAATTAAATACAGTGCCTCAAAGAAACAGCCTGTTGCAAAATCTGTAGGCCTTCTTATTTTCTTTTTTCTTCTTTTTTTTTTTTTTTTTAATACTTTTCAGTCCAACTTGAGTGCAGCGATATGCATATGTAAACATATTCTTTAAAGCAGATCACCTTTAAGGTCATTGAGAAAAAAAAAGTTTTGTCATTAGCAGTATCATTCTTCTGGAAGGCGCTCTTTTTGTTGCAGAGTCTGGATTGTGCTACAGAAAAAATCTGAGCAAAGATGTAAGCTTAGGCTCAAGTAGTAATGCAGCAAAACAGTTTGGTCTCCTTTTTAGAAGACACTGATACACAGTCTCTTTGGCAGCCTGAGCTAAGCCAGTGTGTTACCTCTTTCCTATCTCACTTTGTCTGAGGAACTGTATATTGTTAGCGCTGTCTGCTAATTCTGGATATTGCTCCACAGAGAGTACATAGTACCCATCGTATCCTTGTACCTTTCCAGCACTTAGCAACTGCCTCTTTTCTCCTTCTGTCCACAACCTGGCGCCTTCCTCTCCATCTCTTACTCTCTGTTGTTCTCTGGCCCAGGCACTGGAAAGAGCTCTTTGCCTGGCTTGCTCCAGTATCCGGGCCTTTTCCTCATCAAGTGTCATGCCATAGCGGACGTGAAGCGCTAGAGCACCATATTGCATTTCAACATCAGCAAACCTACGAGTCCTGCCATTCACCACAGTGGTGGACTGGGAAACAGTGACATTGATGCCATTCTCCAGGGCCTTACGCCCACTTGTCAGCCTCAGTGTCCCAAGGTCACTCTCAGGGGAGGTGGTCTTGATAAAATAGTGCGTGTCCTTTCCCTCCACAGTGAAATGCAAGTTTTCTAGGTAGTAAGCGTTGTTCAAAACAGCTGCCACTTTTATGCAGTCCTCATTAGCAATGTTGAGCACGTTTGTTTGCACTTTGCCTTGATTGACAGCAAGCATCACCCCTTTGCCAATCAGAGACTTCACCGTGGCAAACCACAGCCACGACTTTTCTCCACTGGATTTCCGTCTGCTGACCTGCACTTCTGCCATCTTTCCCAGGGAAAGGAAAGCCTTTGCTTGTCTCGCCACTTGTTGTTGCACTCCAGAAATTGGCTGTAAACAAGAACAGACAGAAGTTTTACCAGCCATCTGTAGCCCCCTAAATGCCAAACAGCCAGGATTTCTTGGTGTGCTGCCCGTGGACAACAACAGGATATGCCACAACTGACAGTGCCAGGGAGTTAATTAGATCTGCATACTGCTTGTTCTGCTGAATTACAAGATTATTTTGCTAATATTCACTGCTTTTGCTCTTTGTCTCCCTGAGAACCTGCTCAAAAATCAGCTTTAACTTCAGAGCCTACTTACTGGGCTGCATAGGATAGACTTGCAATGCCAGTACATAACCACAAGAATCACAGAATGGTTTGGGTTGGAAGGAGACCTTGAAAATCATCTAGTTCAAACTCCCTGCTGTAGGACACCTTCAGCTAGACCAGGTTGCTTAAAGCTCCATCCAACCTGGCCTTGAACACCTTCAGTAATGGGACGTCCACAACTTCCCTGGGCAGCTTGTTTCAGGGCCTCACCACCCTCACAGTAAAGAATTCTGTCATAATACATAATCTAAACCTAATCTCTTTCAATTTGAGTGCATTCCCCCTAGTTCTGTCACCACCTGCTCTTGTAAATAGTCTAAATAAACCCCTATCTTTCCTATAAGTTCTTTCAGGTACTGGAAGGCTGCAATTAAGTTATCTAAAGCCTTCTCTTTTCCAAGCTGAACAATCCCAATTCCTTTCCTCATAGGAAGGAGAGGTGTTCCATCCCTCTGATCAACTGGGTGGCCCTGCTCTGGACTCGTCTGAACATGTTTATGTCCTTCCTGTGCTGGGGACCCCAGGGCTAGATGCTGTGTTCCAGCTGAGGTCTTAGAAAGGCAGAGTAGAGGGGCTAAATCCCCTCCCTTGCCCTGCTGGCCCCATGGATTTTGATGCAGCCCAGGACATGACTGACTTTCTGGGCTGCCAGGGCAAATTGCCAGGAGACCATGTCATGTTAATACAGGTAAGAGTCATCTTACTACAGTGTCATCTTACTGTGGTGTCATCTCTTCATCTGAGCTTGTTCAATTAAGATTCCTGTCTACCATGAGTGCAGTCAAACTGAGGAGATTTTTGCAGGTCACGAAGCTGTGCTTTAGAACTGGAGCAAGCCTTTCTTTTCACTGAGTCAGGAGGTAAGAGTCTCTCAAGTAGCCCCAGCCTGAGACCAAACTGCAGGGAGGCTCTCAAAATCCCTCAAGCTGCTAGAGAAATGAGGGAACTCAAACTGTAATGACAGTCTTTACAGTAAAAGAGAGAGAAGTTAATGGTATGGACCAGTGAGGTGGAATACTGGGGGACTGATACCCTTTCTTGCAAATACTTGTAGAAACTGATAAAAGGGGTTGTGTACAAAGACTATGGCCAATTCGGCTGTGTTACCTTCCATTTCACTTCAAGTATCAACCTCCTGCCTGAAAGAGCTTTTCCCCAAGAACTTCGGATGGGTGCAACCCTGAATACAGCAGTGTTTTATCCACAGCTAGCAAAGACAAGGGACAACAAATGAAAAGAACCAACAAGCCAGTCTAATGAAAAGCTAGGAGAGCAGAATGTCATGGAAGAGCTGTGTGTAGCCCACTATGCCAGATGCACTCTTGGTAAAAAGAGGATGGCTGGGGAATGGGACCTGTCAGCGTAACTGCAGTGGTTAGCCTGGACGGCTGAAAGAGCAGGAGCAGCTAGCGGGAATGGTTAGCTGGTGCACCTAGATAGCAGGGCAGCTCAAATTACAGGGTCAGCTGTGGTTGGGATGGGACCTCACAACTGTGCAGAATAGACACATCGGTCTATTTATCTATAACCTATATATCTATAAATTATCTATAATTTATCTATAACCCTGGGTCTTAACAGCAACAAGCTGTGAATGAGCTGTACTGATAGAGGTGTAAGCAGGCAGCCGCCCTGGCAGTTGCCTCAGCAGGAAACAAAGATCTATATAGCTTTGGCTGCACTTTTGAAAATAAGTACTTAGTTTTTGATGATGATCTGGTTTATCTTCCAATTGACCCCTTCTCCTTTTAGTAAAATACTGCTTAAACCATTTGATTCACTGCTGACAAAGGAGTCAAAAACCTTTTGTTTTCCTAAATTTCTGGATGGGAGACCAAGCAGAAATCATTAAGATTCGTATAACCTTAATTCAGCCTTGCTGCTGATCAAAGCCTGGCAAAAAGTTTGCAAAGGCTTCTCTGTTTTGCCACAAGGGTAGCTTTCTGGAGGGGATAACTCCTGAGAGAATTATGAATTAACTTGGGCTCTCCATTTTTCTTGAGTGTGGCAGATTTTGGTCTGCATTTGCTAACAAGTATGGATTTCAGCTGTTGTAAATCCTACATGAAAGCTATTGAGCACAAAATATATTGTAGACAGCAATCATCAGTGAGAGCAGCAAGATGCTATAGCAACTTTGTAATGACAAAGTTTATTTTTAGCATGTATCCTCAGAGCTCAGTAAAGCTCAGTCACTCCAGAATGTTTCAAAATACCAAGTGGTTTGTGTGTTTATTTCTGCCTCCTGCTTGCATTTGCTTGTTCACCAGCGAATGGCAGAGTCACAGCCTCTTCCTACCTGAGAATTTTGAATCTTTGTTCTCCTATCACGTGCTTCTCGGTCTGTCATGTCACATGCTCCTGGCATTCCTCATGTTATTGAGCTCTCTCCCAATGATTTTTGACAGCTAGCTGTCTGCTCTCATCTCTTTGACCAGACTGGTTCTGTTCCTGGTATGCCTTTGCTGGTGTTAGTGGATGATTTTATACTTTGGCCTTTGAGACCTAACTAGACAACCTCTGATAGTTCTTCACAGCCATGCCTGATGACAGGGCTCTTATCTCCCAGTACAACTGGAGTGCTTGCCATGCTCCTCCTTCACTGCTTTTGTTGCTCATGGGAGACACTAATCTCACGCTGTGCTCTAAAGTCTTTCCCTATTACTCAATTCCTTGCTGTTAAAAACTAACTAACTAACTAACTAACTAACTAACTAACTAACTTCCTGAATGCAAAGGTAGCTTACATATGTTCCCTTTTGCTGAGCCACTGTTCTAAGGACTTTTGGTCTACATTAAGTTGTAGGATTTTTGAGGTTTGTATAATTTTTAATTCCTGTAACATTCTCTATCATGGTTCTTGTAAAAAGAGATCTTTTTTTGACTACTTAGAAGGGATCACCCATTTTAATGTCTCTTAACTCTTCCTTCTAAATGAAAAACCATAGGATTTTTGAGGGCATAGGTCTGATCTTTGAGTAAGCCTAATTGTAAATACAATTTTCTTAAATAGCAGACTTAGAATTTACTTCCACATGCATTTCTTCCATTATATAAAACCATAGCAGGTTTTCAGAATGAAAGTTCTTTTTTTTTGCTTTCAAAAAACTCTATAAGCACCTGAATTTTATGCAATATAGTAGGTTTTATTTTAGGTAATTTCAGTTTCAGTATTTTATCTTTACATATAACACATGGTGTCCATAATGCATGGTTAATATTAAATAGAAGTAAAATTATAGTGGTGCCTGGTATGTGTTTGTTATATAACCTCTTCTGTGTATTTCACTGTTTCTTTTTACTACAGTGTTCAGTTACTATCTTCAGGCAGAATGTTAGTACAAATATAATCTCTGTAGTTTCTGCTATGAAAATGAGACACTTTTAGAGCATTTTAAACTTATTTTCATTGATTATTGTCTTTTAAAATATTTATTATTGCTAAAAGCAAACAAAAGCTTATATGAAATTGTACCTAACTTAGCAAATCTGTAAAAAAACCCTCCACCTGTAATTCCTCAAATTCTTTTGAAACTAGATAGGTACTAAGTTTGGATTGAACTTAGCGAATAACCCTGGCTGTCAGAATTATCCATTCCTAATAAGATCTGAATTGAAGGGAACACCCTAGCTTATTCAGTTTGTATGTTTAGTTTTGTTTCTTACTGGTATGTCTTCCCATTGCTGGCTCTTCACAAGTTCATAAGAAGGTTCTGTTAAATCAAATTTCGGAACAGGGAAGCCAGGGATGGCATTGTGCAGATGGAAGCCAAATGTCACCAGCCAGCTGTTAACATCTGAAAGGGAATAATTATTAGAAAAAAGAGAGAAAAATATTAGAATTGTTCTGTATTTTGCAACCGTACCATTTTTACATATAATAGCTTTTGGCATAGTTGATTTCCTTCTGTATGGCAACAGCAAACCTATATAGGAAACTTACAGTTCTAAACTTAAAAGGAAATGTTTGTTCTATCTAAGAGTTGCACTAGGCTCAGTTGAAAGTTATTGCAGGGTCCAGCAAGTCTGATGGCCTCGGTGACTTCCAGAGCAATTATGGCAGCTCAGTTAAGGAGAGATTTCCTTGTCACACAGCCTAAACCAACTGGAATTTCATGGTCAGGTTAAACATGCTTTATGTCACACCTCCATCATCAATACTTTAAAACAAAGCCAAAACAAAAAGTACTGCAGATCACATCCTGTCCTTTTGGTGCATGTTATGGTAATGACTTCAAACTACTCCTGAAATAGCACCTATATGGCCAATTACCTTTCAAATGATTTGGCAGATATTTTTTGTTGATTCAAGAGAAATCTGCTCCTCTTCAAGATGATGTGGGACCGATGAAATGAAAAGCTAATGAAATGCATCAGTAAGCAGACAGGATACCAAATTATCATTAGATAACATTATTTATGATACATTTTATGTTCTGTTAAAAATAAATTAGGGGTGCCAGCAATCAGCTAACAATTGTTTGGCAAGAATGAGTGCTCTGCCTTGCTTCTGTTCTTTTACACTATCTTCCACAAATTCTAAGCTTAGAGGTTGGCAGAGTGCTCCTTACCAAGTCTAATAATTCTTATTTAAGAAAGCTCACAGTATGTGGAATAAGGAAGCAGATTTTTCCAAAAATTAAAAGAATAAAAAAATATTTATCTTAAAATAATTTATAACATTTTCAAATAAATGATATGCCTCGTGAGGCGCTGCATCTAAAATTGCGAGTCAGTCAAATTACCAATTGTAATAATAACGTAATATAAGCAGTGTGTGCCTGTGCATTTCAGACATCAAAGATGTTAAGAAAAGAACCAAAACTGTATTTTGAGGGCAATTTCTGAACTAAGTGCATGAAGCAATGTGCAATGCCACAAAGAATCTGATTCCAACTGCATGCCCTATAGCACATGCTGCTAAAAGAGGACAGATTCAGAGGTCTGTTTTTATTCTTACTCCCAGGCAGCCTGTTAGCAACCCACTTAATAGCTGCTGTTTGTTAAATAAATGCAAACCCACTTGATTCCCAGGATGCTCTTCTAAGTGGTAGCCTCACAGCTCCTAAGTAAGTGGAGTTGAGCCCTTCCTGTAGACTGCAATGTCTGTGTATATTGGATTATTTACATCTAATTAAAATACAAAATATCAAATGTATCAGAGCCATACATTTTTCCAAAAATTCTGGTGTTGTGCAGTCAGATTTCTGGTATGTAGAATAATGGAAAACACTACATATCGCTAACTCTAGAACAACAAAAAGCATATAGGTTTTCTAAGAGTTGAGGTATGAAAGTTAGCACATTAGCACCTTTTTTTGCCAAAAGAGAAGTTCACCCCTTTTTCTATCCTATTCTATTCCTCTTTCCCTGCACCTGGCTGTGTACTCATTACTTTGTGCTAGCCCTGGAGCTTATTGAGCAATTTACATTAGCAGCCTTGCAAAATCTGCCCTGGAAAATATCAACCAACTTCCAGCAAGTATTTTCTGTGATGCAGGTGTGTTAAAATGATCACAGAAGGACTCTTCCTGCCCTTGCTACCTACAGTCTCAATCCCTCTAAATTGGATGCCTGTAGATCCAGCATCTCTAAGCTATAATCAAGTAACCTCTTACCTGTGATATAATCCTTCACATCGTGTATTTTACTGGCTGGGTTGTTATTTCTAAACATGTACAAATTAAAAGGAGCTGGATCCTTCCCAATTCTCTTCCAGATTTCAATATCAGGTGTTGTCCACCGGCCTGCCAGTATGTCATAATCTCTTTCTCCAAAGTGGACTAGTTTGGTCAGTGGATCATATAAGCCTCCATGGAATCCAATTACCAGCTGGAAGTCAAGGTTAGAGTCAAAATAGATCTCTCCATAAGCAGTGTATTGGATTTGTTTAAGCATGAGGCCATTGCTACTGAAAACAGCGAGTGGTGTCCCTGTATTGTCTGATGCAATGTAAAACTCATCTCCACTGCTAATTTCCATGGCAAAAAGGTGTCCTTGCAGATCATAGTACAGAGATGTGATTTCAGAGCTTGAGTGGTTATATACATGAGTTATCCTGGTTGGGTAAGTAAGGTCTGCGTAAAAGAACTGGAGATGCTGCCCAAGGCTAGTTTTACTGGAAACTCGTCGCCCAAGTCCATCATAACGGTAAATCACTGTCCACCCACTTCCTTTGCTATAAACTCGAGTAAGGAGGCCCTTTGAACTGTATTCAAAGATTTCGGTACCCCTCTGACGCAGAAATCCATCTTCATCTAACCTGTACTGTACATCTCCTAGTCGAGTTATTCTGTCTCTCAGGTCGTACCGAAGTGGTGTCAAACGGGCGCTGCTGCTGGGGTTGAGCAAGTGCAGGTTGCCATTCAGGTCATAGTTGTATCGCCACATTATTTTTTCATTCAGATAAACTGTCTGGAGCTGACCATCTACGTCATATTCGTAAGCATATTTTGTGGTGTTGGCAAATGGCCCGATCTTAATTTCTCTTTTCGTCACTCGTCCCATGTTATCATACTGAATTGTAATCCAATACATTAATGACCGAAATATTTCATACTGAATTTCCTTGATGCGCCCATGTGCATCAAAGTGTTTTGTGTACGTCATTACAGCTGTTGAAATGATCTGGTTAATATCGTAATATATAACTCCAAATTTTCCAAACTGTTCAACTTTGCCAGAGATATCATCAAACTGGTAGAGATCAATAGGCAATGGGGTTTCATTGATGACACCTTGCATGCTAGTCACTCTGAAGCTATTGTCATAGCTGTAGTCAAATCGGGCATTCACCATTCCGTCTTCGCTAAAGCGGAAAATCTGTCTGTCAATCAACGGGCCAATTTGTCTGTATCTAATGGTGCAGATAAAACCATCGCTTTGGAGGTTTACTGTTTTCAGGACTCCTGCTGTCTCATCGTAAGTAAAACTAACTCTTGTACTATCATATAAAATTTCTGAGAGCTTGGTCTGCCGTCTGTACTTGAATAATACTCTTCTGCTTGTCCCCAGGAAAGCAGTTTGAAGGAGCTGCCCTTCTTCATTGTAGTCCATTATAACAGAAGCATTGCTTTCCGGGGGGTTGTATATATTCCGGTAATAGCCGATGGAGCGGATAGTCTGCATGGTATGACGAGCAACACTGGGCATGGTGACAGCAGAAAGCCGATCCAACAAATCATATTCGAAGATATACTGCCGTTGGCTATGGAGCAGAAGAACCATTGACTGAAAATTAAGAACAGATTTTTATCATGTGACAAATGGTGCAGTATCTCCCCTCCCGCCATATACCGATATTATTTCTTCATGAAAATGTGACATTCCCACTTGAGAAAATTATCTCCTCTTTAATTGAGTTATCATTGACCTTACATGTTGTTAACATCTCCCTGCCTAATTTACTTGTATGCTTAATTGTAGGGGGTTCTGTAATTAGTAGTTCCACATTCATAATTTGCTACTTGTTATGACTGTATCACTCTTTTATCAAGCATTCACAGCTAAACAGCAGATTGTCAATGGATTCAGATAAGTAATGTTTAATATGGGAAGAAGTAAAACTGTCTTAGAGCCATTAACTCACGAGGAGAACAACATATGGGAGATACAATTTCTTCCCTACAATTAAGAGATGATTTTGAAGAATTTTGAATAGCCTGAGATCTCTAAATACTGTGTTCTTGTTCTGTAAGCTTTTGAGACATAGGCAAAACAATTGTTAGATTATTTATATCAAAAGGAGCTACTTGAATTATTCTGACATTTTCCTAATGTGTGGCTATTATGTATCACAGGTCTTGATTAAATTATGTCTGTGGTAACTAGTAAACAGTATTTGATGAGCAACATCTTCAACAGAAATATATTTATATCACTAAAAGAAATGGATTCTCTTTCTGCTTAGCAGACATGAGATCTCACATGGGTGATTTTCACAGATATTTCTAGAAGGACAGTTATCATTCAGCAAGTGTTACATATATATTGATTCCTGATCTTTTGCCTATCCCTTATTTTGATGCTACAACATATAGCAAGTACAAATTGACAATTGTAACTATTTAGAAAAAAGAGCTTTTCTTGGTAGTGAAAAAAGCCCACAACAGTGGAGCATTTGCAAACAAATTATTTTCGGTTGAATTGAATTGCAGATAGTCCCTGTACCTTAAGTGTTAAGATAAAAGGTAAATGCAGATGCTTCTTGTTAGTCAGTGGCCTAAATAATTTAGAAACACATCAATTCCTAGCAATTAGCTACAGCACGATTACATATCTGTGGAATGAAATATTCCCCTTGGAATCACATGTTGATACTTAGAATAATTGCAATGTGCTTCTACTACCTATATTTGCTTTGTATGCAGCAGTGAGGTGCTGCAGAATTTCCACACATTCCAAGCATTTTTAAAAACCTGAGTGTTCTTTACCTTTTCCAAATATGTGTAACTCCAGGTTTTCCCATCAGCAAACACTCTAGACACTATCCTTCCCTGTCCATCATACTCTATTTTTTCACTAGTTGTGCCTCGCTGTATGCTGCCTATTTGACCTGTGGATGAATAGGTAACATTGACAGCCATCAGCTTGCTGCTCGGGAGCCACAGGGTGGGGTGCCCTGATGTGTCGTAGGCAATCCTCAGCAGGAATTTACGGTGGTCATCGTAGATCTTTTCTGTCTTTGTGGTTCGATCAAAGTCAACTGAAAGGAGGTTTCTGCCATTAACCTTTTTAAAGCAAACAAAATGACACAATAAATCATGCTGTTCAAACCCCAGCCACCTTTTATTTCCCCAAAGTTAGCTATTCTTTAAATTCCATTTACAGTGATTGATTACTGTATGTGTAAAATAGCAACTTCTTGATATCATTTTAAGGCACTATATTAGTATCTCCCTCTGAAGGTCTGATTATATGAAGAGAGGGCTCAGAATTTGTTGCAATGTGTTCTTTCTTGATGCTTAGTCAACTATTAAGAAAATACTGAAAGATGTGTACTGAAAACTTCTGTAATAAATGGGGTCATTTTAATGAACAAACTACTTCTTTTGTAGGCAGTCTGAAGTATATCTAGCAAATTATTGTCAAAATATATTACCAGCAACTGCTTTTCCAATTCATAACAATCATGCTAAGAAAGAACTGAATCCTAGTCCTTCACAGCAAGCATTTTTCAAAATAGTAAATACAAGATCAAGATCTTCAAAAGCACGTTAGATCTTCAAATTAAGGTTAAACAGTTTTTAGAACACAGGCATTCCCCTTTTGGATCAAATGAAAATTTAACTCAGTATACCATCCACGGCTGCAATGTATTTATAAGGCTGAAATCCTTAGTAGAGGATTGTATCTTTCTCCTAGTTAACTGACCACTTAATGCCATAAATGACTGAAAGACTACTGAACCACTGAAAAGCAGTTAAAAATGCTTTGAAGTTTATGTAAGTATTCTGATTTGAAAATAAAGCCTTAGCATAGATACATTTATGTTGAAAACCTTGTTAATGATATATGTAAACTACAGTGATGGTACTGATTTCTGTATAATACATTTACACTGAAATCCACACTCATTCCCTTTAGTGTTAAAAATATGACAACTTTCAAGTTCATTGAATTAGCTGTCACTTTTAAATTTCTAAAAAGAAAATGTCTGGTTTTCTTCTGCACTGAATTAGTGTTCTTCAACAGGCCTTGAGGATTTCTTTGTTCATCTGTAAACCATTTTTGTTATCTGCTGTGTCTTTTTAAAGGTGTTCCAGGTGGGGTGAAAAACTGATAACTGAGATTTTTTTCAACACTGTATTTTGCAAACATGTGGGAAGTAGGATAGAAATGGACAGAGAACTATGTGTATTAAGATTTTTTTTAAAATTCATTTCCAAGTACCTCATATATACATTACAAAGGGTGAATAAAGATGGCTAAATAACAGTTAGAAAGGAACTAGAAAATACATAGGGATACACCAAAGAAATGACTGGAAGATTTTTGCATTTTTCAGGCTGAATGTTCAAAACTCTATATACCATGGATGTTGGTACTTACACCCTGAGGCTGATAAGCTTCTAAAAGATCAATATAAATTAGATCCTTTGTTATTGGTGTAAAATGTATTAAAATGCTGGTGATAGGTCATAGGCAAATAGGAAAAAAAGTTCCTCCAAATGCTCTGTTTTGCTCAGACTGTCTATTTATGTACAATACCTTTCTTTTTGTTAATATGAAATTGGCATGAGAAGAATCTGCACTATCAATTTAGGAAAAAAAATCACACTTTCATGTAAATCTCATAAGTAAAGAACACAAAGTCTAGCAGATGCAGAATAGCTGTTTTACCTATTTAATTAACCATCAAAAGTTATCCAAATAAAATATGAAAAATTAATGCTGAAAGACTGCTTCTAGAAGTAGTTTAAACTTAGCTGTGAAGCACTTCCATTCAGCTCCTTTTTTGTAATATTTTTGTTACTTGTTTTCAGAGAGTTTTTCTTTAAATTTTCCAACATCTAATATAAGCTCGTTTACCTAAATTAATTTTTAAATTTTCGTTATCTCTGGCTTTTTTTTCCCAGTGTCTCCCACATATGCCTGCACTCATCTCTGCATGTCCTTCCTTGCCTGTTTCGCTTCTCTGACTTTTTTCGTTCCCTTTCTCTCTACCTTCCCTTCCTTATTTTACATTTAATTATGATTTTTATAAATTTTCTTGTCCACCTCTCAGGATTAGACACTGAATTTAAAATGGACAATTCTGATTTCTGAACTGGCAAAGAAAGAAGGGTAGTTTTATAGCTAAGGCAGACGTCCAAGCAATTGTGGTTAATTTCTTGGCTAAGCACATCATTCCTGTATAAATTGCAACAAAGTACTTAATCCTCTGTCTCACTGCCCTAGCTGCTAACTGGGATGTTAACAGCCTTTTCAGTTCCCATCTGTCTGGTCTGTGTAAGGGCAGGATATGAGGGGAAGGAAAGGAAATACCTCTTGTTTCAGCCAGTTTCATGCTTTCAGACTTTGCTGACAGAGCTATTGCATTCAGGCAGGTGAGCTTTTGGTGAAATTTTGGTTGTGCTTGCCTAATCTCAATACAGAGATGACAATTAGAGTAACAATGAGTTTTGGTGATATAACTTGTTTCATTGGGCAGTGTAGGGCTGGACTAACACAGCTAACGAAGTGCTTTCCTCTGAAGTGCTTCTTAATAACATCTCTGCTAGCAAAATACTTTTAGAGGAAAAGCTGAATATTTTTATTATGTCCAAGATAACCACACTCCAAATACATTTGAAACCTCTGTATTTCATTATGATAGAAACTGTACTCGAGGAAACTTCCAGTGAAGAAACACTCAATGACACAAAACCGAGTCTTTTGACAGTCCTTACCTACTGTCCTGATACGTTTCACTAATTTATGTTTTCATCTATCCTCCTCTACTTTAATTCCTGTTTTTCTTTCCAGTGAGAAATATGAAATGTTTGATTCCTCTGTTAGGAGTAAAAATATATTGCTGTGTCTTACAGAGAGATTCAAGAGGTAATGTGAAAACTGGGGACCTCTGCATGGCTTGGAGTACATCAGGTCTCAAGAGGAGATGCCTCTTGTGAGCTCCCTTGTCTGTGTTACCTATATACTCAAGGGTGCATCCCTTGAGACAGAGTTCATACCAGCTCCTTTATCTGAGGCCTTTGTGAGATCCTCAGTACAAAGGCCCTATAAAGGTTCTTTCATGCAGAGGACTGGCAGGACCTTTGCCTATGACCAGCTTATAGGCCAAACATACAGCTCCAGACAAGAACTAGCAGATTGAACAATTACAAACCAAGTCAGAACAAAAGCAAGATTGACTGGAGACCGTTGAGCTAAGGAAGGGCAACATAATTCCTAATTAATTTCTTTGGAAAAATTACTAGTACTAGGTAGAACTAATACAAGATAGAAAACCAAGCGTACTTTTTAACATTAGATACTGCATGTATATAACACAGCGTCACAGAGATGAGTACCTTTACTGGCAATACATTTTGTCACTGTTTTTTTCTACATTTGTCTTTGCAGAAAAACATTGATGACACATCTGTCTGTACAAAATGGAAATGATGAGCTCCATAAATTATTCCTGTTGTTCTTTCTCTTGTTTTCTTTTTCTGCTTTCCTACATCCCCCCATCCACCCCCAACTGACATTTCGGTAATACCTTTCCATGTAAATCAATTTCACAAAACATTCCTTTTTATTTTTTTTTGTTTTCATTGCTGACAAGTTTATTTCCTTTTTTTCTGAGACATTTGTCTCTTATTAGCTCATTCTCCACCTGCCCTACTTCTCCCATTTCTATGTACGCTTTTAATTAGTATTATTTTATCCTTATATGTAATCTTTCATTTTCCCTCCCATCTTGTTAAATCTTTCTATTTTGTATGCTCTTCTTTTTTTTTGTTAATTCTTCTAAGTTAAAGTTGCCTACGACAACTTCACCTCCACCACTTTTTAACTTTTACCTCCTCTGCACTCAAATGCCAAAACTTAGCGTCACTTCTGAGAGCTGCACTTGTGGTGGTTTGTTTCACTGCCAAACCTCTCTTGAGCTTCTTTTGCAAATGACTTGGCAGGTGTATTATACCACTGTGGTATATAATGATATGCCTATGAACCAGAACCACAAGGATGAACTTCAGAATTATGGCTTCTTTTTCCTCTTCCTTATGAATGAAAGATAGCTGCCACAGGTAGTTACTAATATATTTCTTAAATAGCTGCTACTGTGCATAGTTGTTCTTCCTTCTTGGAAAATAAATACATTCCTCTTGCAGAGAAAGTGGTAGAGAGGAATATGACCTGCATAACAGCATCCCCTCCTTTCTTTTCCCAATGGAAGATACAAAATATTTTAAGATTTCAAATGGCAAGAAGTCAAGTGGTCTGAGATGACTTACCTTCATTTTATACACTGCCTAGGCCTTATTTTAAAGAACTGAATTCAGTTCTAATAGTAAGTCAGACCTTTGATGTGGTCTTGAAATGGTCTCCTGGCAACACAATTTTAAATGCTTAATCTGTGTTGTCTTTACCAAATGGCTGTCAGAAATCATAGTTTGCTTCCTACTTTTATTTCACTCTCTATATACGAAGAAGAAATGCCAACAAAATGGTAAAGACATATGTTAGAGGAATATGCCATACACATGCACACACAATTAAACCCCTTCTACTGGAAGAGTAAGTCTTAGTACAATTTTCATTTAAAATAAAAAAAAAATAAAATCCAGGGATTGTGCTAACTTATGGTAGAATAATTTAAAACAGGATTCTGAAATAGGTACATTAATTTAGTACCAGAAAGAAAAACAATGAAGGAAAGCAGGAAATTATTCTTTTTAGCCATTCCAAGCTAAACCCAACAGTTTAAATTCCACGGAGTGCTGATTTTAGCTGGGGTATTTCTCCACAGAGGTTAGTACAGGGCTATGTTTTGGATTTGTGCTGAACACAGGATTGATAACCTAAAGATGTTTTTATTATTGCTGGTCAGGGCTTCCCCAGAGCCAAGGCCTTTTCTGCTTTTGGTACTGCCACACTGGAGAGCAGCCTGGGGGTGCATGGAAGGTTGGGAGGAGACACAGCCGGGACCGGTGACCCCAACTGACCAAAGGGATATTCCAGACCATGTGACATCATGCTCAGTATGTAAAGTGGTTTGGAGCAATGGCTTTGTCCTCCCAAGTCACTGTTACTGTGATGGGGCCCTGTGCTCCTGGGGATGGCTGAACACCTGCCTGCCCATGGGAAGCAGGGAATTCATTCTTTGTTTCACTTTGCTTGTGTGTGTGGCTTTTGCTTTCCCTGTTAAACTGCCTTTATCTCAACCCACAAGTTCTCTGGGTTTTCCCATTCCAATTCTTCCCAATCCTACTGTGTGGGGGAGTGAGTGAGCAGCTGTGTGGGTCTTGGCTGCTGCCTGGGTTTAAACCACAACACACAGAAAAGAGCAATTAATAAATAAAACAGCCAATAAATAAAGTAATAAAAACAAGTACTTCCAGATCTACAGTTAGCTTGTCCACAGTAAATATTCTGTGGCTGCTGGATGGCAATACCTACAGGAATGTATTTACATTTCCTCATTCCTTAATGAGAATGCAGTAGATACCACTCATGCTTGTGTGCTTACCCTAAGTTTTCGGCCAAAGACATTGACTTTTCCCTGGGCTTGCTCCTTCCGGAATCTCCATTCCACCAGGTTCTGCCCGTTCTCCCCTGGAAGGGTCATGTTTCTCTTTGCCATGGTGGGGTTGGCAGTGCCAGCCAAGACGTGTGGTTCTGTCTGGTAGTGTGAGTCCAGGCCGCTGGCGTACAGGATTCTCAGTGAGCCATCATAACCGATCTGGTAGCTATTTCTTAACTGATCTGAAAAGGACAAAAAAAGAATTTCAGGTCACCTACATTGGTTAAGACTTTGCCTTTGTACTGGACACTTTATGCAATATGTGCATCTTGACTTCACGTAACTGACCTAAAGGTAATAAAGAGCCAAGGTGAGATTGTTAAGAATAAGTGTATCCCAGAGGAGCAAAAGTGCCTTTAGGACCTTTCATCAAAGTTACTTAAGCACCTAAGAAAGCCTTATCCTCATAGTATATTCTCTGGACTGGCACAAAACACATTCTCTGCTGTTTGATTAGGCATTTTTGGCCTAATCCTGTGCATTCTATGACTACTCACTTTTGCAACGATGTGGTTGCTGGGATATTACATGATATTTTTAAGCTAAATACCACTTCATACTATTTCTGTACCTATTTCCCTTTCAATCCGTCTCTTCTTTCCAAGGTTCCTTTTTAATACAAAGTAAGTATTCTATTTCCCATAGCTGCTTACAAAAGCTATTTGGTTGGAAAACTTAATGCTACTTTTGTTGCAACTACTGCTTTTCCAGAACAGTTGTTTCTGTATAGGTGTAAAACCGTGTATGTATCAGCCCTTTCTCCAGCCACTATGCCCCTAAAGTTTCACTTCTATTTGGAGCTGCTTGTACCACAAGAAACCAATTTTCAAGCCAGTATCTGCTGAGAAATCTTTTGTTTACAGTACCTTGAACCATGGTATAGAAAGAATCGATTGATGATAAATTGGAAGTGATGCTGACATCTTCCTCTCTGCTGGATGACTCAATGTCCACTGTAATGGCCCTTTCCATTTCCCCATGAAGGTTAGTGACGACTCCAGTTGGGAATGTTACATTTGTTAGACGGCCCTCGCTATCGTAGCTAAAAAAAAAAAAAGTCCAGAAATGATACATAGCAGGAACAAATTGTTTTCACTTACAACTAAAATGAACAAAAACGTCAGCTATTCATATTAAGGCACTTTTGCTTTTTTTTGTGTGCATGGGATAGGCATAGCAAAGACTTCAAACATGCTTTGAAGTACTCAAAAGACTGCTTAACATACAGCAGCATCAATGGTGATAGCAAGAGCAAACAGATGGATCTTCAGCTCTGCATATTATTCTTTGAAGTGTGACCAGATCCTGCTGCACATCTAATTCAGCATTTCAAAGGAAGCATATTTATTTGTGCTAAATTCTGTAGCATTTTGTACTCACTCCCTCTTACTGGACTAGATTTTGTTGTTACTGTAGGAATCCTCAACATTTTTGAAAAAAGGGTATCTTAATAAGAGTGTCTCTTAGGCCTTTCCTATTCAAGGAATATGCAGGACACCTGTATTCCTGAGTGCTCAACCTCCCATGTATTAAGATGAGCAGAATCTGGGGTAATATTTAATCTACTTAAGCTTCTTGAAGCTGGAAACCAGAACAGCTAGCATCTCTAACTTGTTAACTGCCTGCAAATCATGGTTTGAGAATTGTGACACAAACCATGAGGTTTTGTTTTTTTTCTGTGTCTACTGGCATTTATTTAAACCAACAGCTGTATATCCACTTAATAGGAATAGGTAGATAGAATTTCTGTAATTGAAGTAGATCTTGGTACATGACCAGAGACCATGGTTACATCCAAACAAGCATTTTGGCCACAGTATAGAGAGAGGTAAAGCACTGTGTGAGCTTCTGGTCATAAAGCTTGTCTTTAAGATTAGATATTCTAGTACTAGAGTCTTGATTTATCAGCCTAGGTGTTCAGCTGAAGGTCCTTGTTTTGAAGTATAGCCTGCTCATAGCTGCAACAGAGAGAAAAAGGCATCTGAAAGATGATTTCATGCCCACATATGACCTGTTTGCTCTCAGGAGTTTTCCATCCTTCTCCTGTGACCATGTAGCAGGAAACTGAACAACGCCTTAGTCTCTTAAAGTAACTAGAACACGACCCTGCAGGTCCTCACAGTGTGCTAGACATTTCATGCCGGTATTTATCATCAAAATTGCTCCTACTGGAAAAGAAAAGCAAAACCAAAAAAAGCCCCCCCAAAGCCCCAAGCATATCACTGAGGTTACAGAAACTCTGTTAAAATGAGAGAATTAATCCTAACAGCTGTAACCTACAACACACTTTCTCTGAACAGCATGAGTACTGCACAGCATTGCTGTAACTGAAAGGATTAAGTTAAGAAATGTTTTCTTCCAGTTTGCTTACTCTGTAGATTTGACAGCTTTTTGCATACAGTCATTCCATCCTTTTAGCACAGTTGATTTCCTTTGTTTATGTAAGACTTTCACTTAGAAACAGGCAAGAGAAAAAAAATGTTTAAAAATCAGAAACCATACTGCAAGCCAGGGAAGTCAAGTGAGGAAACTTATTTTTTGAAGTTAAGTACATTTCAAGACAATGGGGTTTCTTCCAGTGTGTTTCTGTCCCTAATTGTGTTTTTTTTTCACATACTGGACTTGGCAAGCTGAGATATTCCATTTATGCAGGAGACAAAAAAAAACATACCGAAGTTCCTTTTGCATGAATGTGACTGCTAGCCTATTCATGACCTTCAGTCTCATGCCTCAGTTCCAAGAACTTATTTTCATGCACAACTTCCCTTTACAACTCCCTGGGGAGCATATATTGTCCAATTACTGTCCTTTTATATTTTCTGCTTTATGTTTGAAAATGGTACCAAATTACTTTGTTGGGAATTACTTCCATCCTTTGATTGCAGTAGTGAAGTGCTGGTCTTTATTTCAAACAATGCTTACTAAAGCAACAGAAGGTAAGATTTCCCTGTAAGAACTTTTTACTCTTTTAATCACAGTATTTGTGAGAAACTAATTACCATATTTCTCAGTATACCACCTGAGCTGGAAAATGCTACACATCAGTAGTATTCAGTGCAGTGTGCGGCTTTAGTGAAGTATGCAGCACTGAACTGCGCTATCCTTCTTTTATGCATTCTTGCTTCCACATTATTATTTTTTGACTGTGCCTATAGTTCTTGAACTGGTCTCGTCTTTCACAAATATGGGAAGGCACATTATGAGCCTGAGATAAGCAGTTAATATTATTACAGTGGGGGAGAGTTCAAAGACCAGCTAGAAATCATGCTACACATTCATGTTCTTAAAAATATGACTTTAAAGCTGAAAGAATCTTAAAAGCCATGATTGCTTGGTTCAGGCATCCTAGTGCAAGAAGTAAATGTGACTGAGACGTGAAAGGTAAGAAGAGGATTTCTCACGCTTTTATAGCCAAGAACAAAAAGAAAAAGGGGAAATAGGCCTTCCTACAATTCAGTACATATTCCATTTTATGACAGATTGCTATGTGTGTCCTTCATTTTGTTCACTGTATATCGAATACTAAACTTACTTTATACTTGCTATCTTTTTGCCCACAATCAAAGCCTTATCAATGCACAGCATAGCAACATCACTCATACCTTTGGGCATTCTGCAGCCATTTTTCTTATTACATTCAAATATCCTTGCATTTTGCTGCCAAGGTGAATTTATTCATCCAAGATTGTCAGTTTTAGACTGAGAGATTTCTTTTTATCTGCCTAGTGTTCTAATATTGAAATTGCCCTAGAAGGAATGAGATCTGAAGTCTAGAGGGCGAGCGCCTATATTTGCCATTTCACAGCCTCTTTGATCTTTTCATCCAAACACAAGCTCAGGCACATGTGTTTCCATGGAACCCTCTGATCTTTCTCCTTTGCCAGGCTCCACAGCAAAGACTTTCCACCAACCTCTTCAATTCCTCAAGAGTGAGTCTCACATAAACTTTTCAAGAATCTAAACCAGAAACTTGCTCCCTGGACGTGACCTTGTGTGCATTAATCCGCTCAGCTCAGCTCGTTTCTGTTGGCATTAATGCAACAATCTTCATATTTGGTCAATAACTACGAAGGCAGCAATGGGGGCAGCTGCCACCACTGCTAGCTGAAGTTTCCCTTAGATCAAATCCTTTTTCTTCTTCAGGATGAGCTGCTACCGCCAGATAGTTTTCCATTTCTGCAGTGAGAATTTCTCAGAGATAATGATTATCAGCTTCCCAGATTCTCGACCTTTTGCTCTTCACCTGCTGGAAGTCTCTCTTCCATTGTTCATCTCCTTCAGTTTTAATTACATGCCTTCCCAGACCATTTTCTGTTCTAGGCTATGTAGGACACTTCACTTTGCAGTAATAACTTTCTAGTAAGCCTTGCCACAGATGGAAATGTCCTACTTTCTTTATTTTTGACTTGTTTCTCAAGTGTATTTTATCATAGTCTGTAGCACATTTAGCTCAACCCCAACTTGCAGAGCACTATTAATGTTTTATATCAGAAGTTATTTCAATGTAGAATAGGGAGCTGTAGAAATAAAGTGCATAGTAAAGGCTGCACCTAAAGCCAGTTGCTAAGTTATGACTGATACTGTTTTCCCCAGACCTCTGCAGCACAATCCCTCAACAAAATAAATTCTATTTTTTTTTTTTTTCAGTTGTAAACATGTCATGTTGAAAAGCAAGGCACATAATTTCCAGCACATTTCAGATAACAAGACTTGCAGTCCAAATGCATATTAAGTATTTAAGACTGGTTACAGATTATACTATTAGTTGGGATACTGTAATAGAGAAATGAAGCATGAATGCATTTCATAATATAGACATGTATAATTTTGACAGTAGAAAGTGAAAAGTACTGTTACACTTTCACTCAACTCACATCAGGTATTTCCTCTATGCATCTCACATTACCAAGAGTGGCTAAAAAAATTATGGAACATTACCCTACTTGTTTCAAACTATTAATGGGAAGCCTTTTATACCTGAGTGTTGCTTCCTGGCCGGTGAGAACAGAAGGTTCAAGGTTGACATTCAGGAGTGCAATGTGTTGTTGTTTTAGGTGCATACCACATTGACAACATACTGAAAAATCTGTCCTAACCTGGCAATGAAATGTCTCCCTTGGCTTGTTGGGGCCATTTAAGCTACATTTACATAGAGGACTGTTGTCTTTAACATTACAGAATTTTGGTTTCCAGATACATTCTTTTGTTTGTATTCAGCCTCCATAGCGCACTGCAGGTTTAGTCCCTCCCAAATGGATGTGAATTCAAAGTTGGAAAATTATGGTAAAGAAAAGCCATTCTAGTAGCACTCTGACTGCAAGCTCAACCAGTATCTAAATGGTTGTCTTGCTGATCAAAAGGAAAGAAGCCCATATCACATCACTTTTATTAGAATTTCATCACCTGTAGGGAGCATTCCTGTCCCCCACTGGTTTAAAATTTGGCATAGCAAGTTACTGGATGCTATAGTTCTGGCCACCTTTAACCATTATGTGGATTGTAGAAAGAAAGAAAAAAACTTTCAACTTGAATGTAATGAATTTTGCTTCTTTTCCTTTACTCTATTTTTACATTACTTTCGTCATCTGATAGGCATTTTTGTTTTTTATGTGTCTGTAGAGAGACTGAATGAGCCTGCTAAGAATGAAAAAGGTGAAAATTATCTAAAAATGCATGGACAGAAATGATTTCTCCTTTTTTTTCATTTCTTATCTAGTCTGATTGAAATAGACACTTCAGTGGATCCATAACTACTCATTTATAACCTGCACATATTTCTTTATTTCCATACAGTACATTTGTATTTGTATCTTAAAAGGTTTAGCATCTTGCTTTTGAATTCACAGTAAACCTGAAATATTAAACTATGACTTCCTTTGGAGATAAAACAATTTATTTTTTTTGAACCCCAAACAATAAAGAATATGGTATTATGTCTTCCTAATATTTTGTTTTGCTTAACAAGAAGAAAGCAAGTGACAATTTGATATATATTAGTAGCTTGTAAATTATGACAAGTGGATTTTTAAAATTTTACTTTAT